ATTATTTACGATATTTTTACTGCGAGAATCATTATTGAGAAGATCAATGTTAAAATCTCCACATATGATAACGTGATCATACTCGACAGAAAATTCAGATAATTTCTGAAATAAGCTCGTTAGATCATTTGACCTATTAGGGTGTTAAAGACAAGCCACAAAACACTTTGTTGGAGTGTCACCTATTTCAATAAAAATACTTTCAATCTCACTTGAATCATCAGAACGATAAATAACTTTAGGTTTTAAAACTTCTTTGCAATAAACAGCAACACCACCACCACGAATATTACCTTTTCTGTCATTTCGTAATAATACATAGTTACCCAATGAGTATGAATGATCATCAACGTGGGATCTGAACCAAGTTTCGGTAACGCAAATTAAATCAACATTTTGATCAGCAAATACATAATTAAGATAGTCTAATTTTTCAACCGTAAGACTACGGGTGTTTAGATGGCACATATTAAACGCTTTATGTTTTTCACAAATTTGCCTTAAAATACACCTCACATGCCCACTGTCAGCACCATCTTTAGTTAGTTTATCCAAAGGCAAAGCAAACAAGCAAGATGTTTTCAACAAAGTAGTAAGGGAAGAGAGAGAAAGAGAGTAAAATAATATAGAGTAAAATAATATAGAGTAAAATAATATAGAGTCAAATAATATAGATAAATAAGGTCAGTACAATAACAATATAAAATGAAAAAGAGCTAAGAATAAATAATGTGTAAAGCATCGCTTTGCATGGCTTAACATAACTCTGTAACATTGCTTGTTTAGTTGTTTACTGCAATTCGGTCAGCGCTCTCTTTGTCACTAATTTTTACAGCTTCACCTTGTTGACAAGTACGCACATACACATCTCCACGTATTGAGAAAACCGTAGCTAGTCGCTTCTGTTTTTTTAATTGCAGTGCATGCATGTAAGACCTCGCGATTGTTCTTTGTTAGGCATTCATGTACAAATACCTTGCCATCTAAATTATGCCCAATTTCACGGAGAGCTATAGGTCTTTTGTTGGTTTTACAAAAGTTTGCAATTGCTCTTAGAAGCAAAGAGCGGTCATTAGGTGAGTTGAGCTTCACAATAATAGGTGAGCTACTATTTGTGCTCTTTCGAATGCGAAAGACAGTGCGTATTGACGGCACGTTCAACTGGACCGTTCGACATACTTTAGCGAAGACTTCGCCTAAATTTTCATTTGGCGTATGGGGAATTCCACTGACTATTAAATCAGACAGCACGGCATTATTTTGGCATTCGTGCAATTGCATCTTTAACGCATTTAGATCTGTACGAAGATGCCGGCACTCGCTTTCAGCTAACTCAACCCTGTCTTCAATTATTTTGTAATTCTGCTTTAAATTTGTGATATCTGCCGCCAACTCACCAAACCTCTGCAGAACCCGCTGCTCTGACTCTCTTAAGCGCTCCGTTAACTGCTCCACAATGCTCTCCTTCCAGATCAGCATTTTTGTTTCTAAACGCGAAATCTCACTTGAAACTGCTGGTGGGCTCTCAATATTAGCAGCCTTAGAAAAGGTTGGAGTGAGATGTAGAGAAGAAGAAGAAGAAATTGTTTGCCGTGTTGTTTTTGTTCTCGTTCCCATGTTAATGTTAGACGCAAAATAGTTTTAATTTTATGCAAAATAGATACAAGATCAGCACAACTTTTAAACAGATTTTGTATACATGGGTTGCAGACTATTTTTACAAAGAACTCCCACGAAGTTCAATAATTAAAGTGACGGTTATATGTATATAAACTTTATTTTATTGCAGCGAAACCGAGTGTGTGTCTACTCACTACGCATACTTTTCTGCGAATGAATTGAAGTCAATCCAAAAACAATAATAAAACCAGCAGACAAAAATGTAATTAAGGCATATGTAACAGTTTTGCACTTATATATTTTTACTAACTTTTTGTCACGAAAAAAAAGAGTTGTTAACACAATGTTCAGTATACTTTTGCTTTTTTTAGTTCCTGGATGCAATTTGGCATACCTTATTTGTATCTCTGAAAAAAATTGCGGGGGTATAGCCTCCCATATATCCTTGGTTTGCTTTCATAGCTCATGTACTCCATTGGACGGACTTGCATTCTTAGTAAGCTGCGCTTTTAGTTGATTTCGCAAATTTTCGACGAGATTCATATCCGCGGATTGTGGAGGTTATTTCAAAATAGCAAATTTTTGCTTTTGCATCCAGTCTCTGCGAACATATGCAGTATGTTTTGGGTGATTCTTGAGCAGAAACTCTCATTTTTCGACTACATCTTGCAAATTTGGTTGAAATATGAACAGATACTGTTCCTTACGCATAATGCGTACTAACGGACCAACAATATTTTTGAAATACAACCCCAAACTAATATTAACCGCCCACTGTGATTCACAGTTTGCCTTACATGATGCGCTTAGGCTTAATTTGTGCCTTTGATCCAATACCATGCCCGGCCATCTGATTGAAAGCGATTAATTTAGTCTTGTCAGACCAACTAACCTTCAATTAAATCTTAAAAATTTGTTTTTTTATTGCATTCTGTAAGGCCTAACATATCACAATAGGCAACGGTCGTGCGATTCGGCAAAATGCTACCACTCTCGCATATGTATTTTGATCAAAATGGGGTTTTCTTCTTTTATTATGCCTTTGCGTTCAATTTGACAATTCTTCGCCTCGCTGTCTACTGAGTTGCATTCAATTTTAATACCTTAAGCGCTTCTGTAATAGTGGCTGCAGCGCTACTTGCTACTAAATTCACAAGATATCGGACCATAATATTTTTTGACAGACTTCCTTAGTCCTTGGGAACACTTTAGGCCATATTTTTTTCCCAGTCTAAACATTTCCAAGTAGCAAATTCCAAAATTTTTTGCCACTTTTCCTACGGTCCCGCGTTTCCGCAGCAAATCTATTATTTACATATGTTTCCTGATTAACCATATTATTTACTGGTAATCACTTCTTGAATAAATTACAATACAGAAAAAAGTCATCTGACTTCCAACCTAAGAAAAAGAAAACTGTAAAATGAAAAAATTGAGAGTGAGTGCAAAACTGTAACATTTGCCTCAATTTACATTTTTGCCTGCTGGTTTTATTATTGTTGTTGGATTGACTTCAAATCTTTATGAGAGAGGGAGTAGAGGTGTAGGAATAAGAATATACAACAAAAGTATAAAAGTCGTTAGAACTTGGAAAGATAGCGGTGGCTGAAATAAAAAGTGTTACATCATGTTACAGTTTTGCTCGTCACTGTATGTGCATGTATAAGCAAACGCAATTTTAAAACGCGAAAAAATTAACTGTTTAAACTTGTATTTTTATTATGTAGCTAACACCCACACTCAAAAAAAAAAATAAAAATAAACAATGCTCATAGATCGAAATTTGTTTGAAAATCTTACTTCATAAAGCTCTTTAAATATATTTTATAAATGAGGCCATTAGAGTTTTGGGAGAGAGTTAGAACACAAAAATACCTTTAAAGGCTGATTCACATACAACTTTCTTCGCTTTGCTTGATAGTCTTTGCTTTGACATATAAGATCGATGTAGGCATGTAGGCAGCAGTGACAACAAACACAACACAAATCGGAGGAAAAGCTCGGCCAAACATATTGTGTAGGCGCCAGTCTATTATTATTAGTATAATTATTATTATTATTATTAGAATTATTATTATTACTATATTCAACAAGGCGGAAGTCATTTCGACAGTGCTCGATTTTTTAAGTGTCAAACATACAAGAAAGTATTTCAAATCCATGACTCAATAATAAACGGTTTGCTCAAAAAACAGTTTTCTCGCTTCCTCTTGACAAAATCGGCTACCTTAGCAAGGCACTGTGTGGGTTCGTGTGTGTGTGCAAAGCTTTTGTAAGGGAGCTAAGGGAGTGTCAAAACTCTAATGTCACTAATGAGCAAACCTTTAAGGCGCTGGCCCAATGCAGGCTTGCTTTGCTCGCTTTGCTAACTTTAATTTGCTTTGATTTACTTGGAAAACTTGTTTGGCCGAATGGCGGCTTGAAACGCTGTCAAAGTAACCAGCTGTCTGGTTGAAAAGTCAATAGTTGTGTGTTTCGTATTCTCCAGCAAAAAATATCCAGTAACTTGCCAGTAACCAAATTTCGGAGAGTAAGCCAATATTTACTCCCAATGAGTGAAATATGCAAGAAAGTACGAAAACGCGAAACCAGCAAGAAGTTTTATGAACAGCTGATTAATTTGTTATTTTCCGATGCGATTTTCTTAGAAAACTAATATTTTCCATCTTATTATATATTTAAATAGGTTTATTTTGTCAATTGCAACTCTAAAAGCACCACAAACAATTATTTTGTTAATGTGAATTACTTTAAGCATCACGCCATCAGCTGTTTTTCTTACTAGCAAATAGTTGCTAGTAAAAATTTATCCAGTAAAAATCCAGTAAAACTTGCAAGTTTAGCTATCATTTTTGCTCTCTCAATTTCCCCTCTTTTGCTAGTTTCTTGCAAGTTTTTGCTTACGAAAACGGCATCCAGTAAAAAACCAGTAAAATTAGTAAATTAGATTTACTGGATAGTGCGTACGCGAACAGGGCTAATGTCTGTTCCCTTAACATTAATTATTGTTTTCCTATAAAACTCTAGAAGATTTATCAAAAACTTTCAGATTTATTTTTAAATGAATCCGAAATAATGCTTGTATTTAAAAGAACTGGTAGTAATGACACATACATATTTATATCTACAGTTACTAAAAAAACTATAACTTAAAAAAGCGATTTACTTGAAGAAAAGAGCTATAAGAAGTTTTTTCCTCTCGTGTAAAATTTGTAAAAGTGAGCTTTGCAATTTTTTATTATAATATAACGATATGTTAAATTTGATTTCGAATTGCTTTTTTTTAAATTAAGCAAGCAAATTTTTGTTTGAATTTATGTATTTTGAACAGGAACATGCCTATTTGTCAAAAGCCTACAAAACGCTTTCAAATAAAACATTTGTCAATTTAAAACTTTGAGGCGCTTAAAGCAAGTGAAGAAAAGCTGCCAATTGGCCAGCCTTTATACATTTTTGTATGTTCCAAATAATTTTTGACACTTCTCGGAGCGAAGCAAGCCTGCATTGGGCCAGTACCTTTAATTATTGAATTATGTTTCAAATCGTATTCCAAAATTTTTTTTTTTTGTATTGTCTGACACTATAGTCAGCTACAAAGAGAGCTTTATTTTATTGGGCCGTTTGGTATGAAATTTTAAGAAAAGCAATTATTAGTTTTTATTCATGCGGCCCATTGTCACTTCTACCTTGTTGAATATATCTTGATTTTAATCAAGGTATATTCAACCAAAACATGTCATCGGGCAGGTTCTGCTATTCACTTCCAAGTAAATTTCAACTCCATTCAATTTGAATTCGAAGAGGCTTTGATTGAAATTCACTCGGAAGTGAATTGCAGAACTTGTTCGTATGACTAGAATGTCAGTCATAGAAAAACAAATTTCAAATTGTATTGAAAAATGTTATCTGGAAAGGTACAGTAACAGAAGAAGTAAATGTACATTCAAATACAATCTTATAAAACTTACTCATTTTGCACGATATGTAGTTTATGATCAGGTATAGGTAGAGCCGATGCGCCCTCCAGTAAAATCGGACCCAATGAACTACAGCCAACCTCTACCCAATTTTCAAAGAACTCAGTGTCGACGGCGCGTTTAGTCTCTGAAAAACTATCACGCAGTTTTCTATTACTTTCTTCACGTGAATCACGTCGCTGAGAAAATGAATTCGAGCTACGTTTCGGCTTGCAAATGTGCTGTTGTGACTGCTTATGCTCAGATTTTATTGAATCTTGTTCGGAACGACGCATTTTGCCCGAACGGTTACTGCCAGTAGTGTTAGTATTGTAAGAGTTTGTTAGATTTGAGTATGAACTGCCATTATTCATAAAAACACGCAGCAATATTGATGGCAGCAATCCTGAGATTCCAGACTTAACACGTTGCCCATGCAAATTACAGTTGGCCAGGCGGATGGGAGACACCTAATATTATAATAATGAAACAGTGTATTTGCGATACATACATACATATGTACAGCGTATCAAATAATAACTGTCGCATCTAATTTTTTGAATAACAGGGTTATTCCCCTTATTTCGCCTGATTGGGATCAACTTGTCAAATAACGTTAAATTACAGGCATCTAATCCTAATTTATTTCTCATGCAAATATAGGTTGGAGTATTTTTTATGAAGTGTGAAGTAAAGTGTTTTGGGATATAATATTACTTTTCATTTTGTGAATTTGGTGCAAGGTCTAATAAAACAATTGCATGTACTATTTAAAAAAAAAAACAGTTATAAAGTTATACCTTGGGTTTGTTAATGTAATATATACATACATATAAATACTTATTTCTTGCTTCCAATGTTGGTAAAATAAAGGATGTAATTAAGTAACTTAACAACTTATTCAGAATTTTTATTGAAATAATTTAAATTGCAAATTCAATTTTGCACTTTCCTTTTGCGAATCTTTCTATTATCCTTTCATGTCAATTTCAATGTCGAAGTGTACGTGTAAAAGTGCTAGACCTATTTAGACCTATCAGTCTTTCTTCATTCATGGTACTACGCAACCATGTTTTTAGCCGGCGAAGGGTTGAAAAACTTCTTTCGGAAGTAGCGTTACTAGCTGGAAGTGTGACCAGAATGCGGGGAAGTTTGTTAATCAATGGAAAAGCATATTTGTCGCATTAACCAAGAACTTCTGCTGCTGATTTTGGGAATGGCTTTTCGCTTTCCTTATTTGTCCATCGTTCCAACCACACTTTATACTCTCCTTCCAAATTGATACCGTCTTTTTCTTAGGCCGTGGTTATGCCACCAATTTTAATTGGCAATCAAAACAGAAAAATTTCGATGATAGGTGAGAAGTGGTTACGCTCTGTTTGCTGATTGGCGAGCACAGGGTTGCTTCTTAAGAAATGCCTTTTTCCATTTCATACAATTTCGCACACAATGGCAGCACTGAAGTAAAAATGCAACTAAAAACGCATCAAAATTGAAGTCGGAAAATGAAAAATGGAAGAACAACTTAATATTTTTTCTTTCTTTAATATTTAATTTTTATAATATTTTTTTTTAATATCTACTTTATAATAATAATAATAAAATATTTTTTACTATTCTAATATTTAATACTAATACTTTTTCGCAAAATAGCGTATTGCCACCCTGAAAAATTGGCGTGCTGGCTGTTCCGTTCACCCAGCAAATCGTGCAGGCTGTTCGATTTCGAAAATTCTCTCACTCCGTGCTGTGCATAACAACAATTGCACGGTGATTGCCAATCGAAATTGGTGGCGTAACCATGGCCTTAGAAAAGTTCGTATCGTTTTCCAAGCGATTTTACACGTTCGATAGCATTATTTTTTCCGTCAGGCGTATTATATTCCCCAATTTTAGATGGAAGTAATAAGTTCAAATCAAAAATGTTTAATGACTCTTTCGGCAATCTCTCTCGGAGATCGAGCAAAATATTGTCCAATAGCGGTATAAATATTGCCTTTCGATAATAATTTTCAGCGTTAGACGCACGATAATTAGCCCGAAAATTTTGTCTATTCGCTCTCCGAGGAAGGACAATGTCAAAATCCAATTCCTTAGCGATATCGGTAACTTTTGAAAATATATCAGAAAAATGTGTGTCAGCATTTTCTCTATAATTTCGAAGAATATTCACAGGGCCATTGACTGCTTCGCAAGCACGATTCAAGTCAAGCGAGGGCGCATGGAGAAGTAAACTTTTAATTTTTAATTTAATAACTTAACTTTTTAATTTTTATTATATTATTCAAGTCATTAATATTTTTATGCACAAACAAATTTCTGGTTACACAGTAGAAAGTGAAATTTCCTACATACGTGCACCGCGGAAATAGACAAATAGTAGTATCAGCAAGTTCGATTTGACATACATACATACATTCATAGAGCCCAATTCTAAATACTCCCAAGGGAGTTTGTTCTCCGGGAATTTGTTTCTCCCGAGAAAGAAATCCTACAATAATAAACTCCCAGGAAGTAGCATTTTCCCCGAAAATTTGGAAGGAGAAAATCAGACTTCGCAAGAGCTGTTTGATACTCAACTCCGCCACTTAATATAAAAAATCCGCAGGGAATTTTTATTCAGGATAGGAGGAAAAGGAGAAGAGAGAAAAATTCCAGGGAGTTCCTGTTCAGAATCCGATAGTATCTACATACCCATTGTTTTAATTTTTCACGTTGACGAAGAGTTTTACACGATTTTTTATTCTATAAATAATCTTGTGCAAGCCTAAAATATGGTTACGATTGAAGATTAAAATAAAAAAAAACTTAAAAAATGTTTTTTTTTTCAAATGTTTCGTTTGAGGTAATATATTTCATCCGAAATTTTGCTTTTATCGATTCGATGCATTGTAGAATAACAATATGGGTATCAATTAAAAGCAAAAATTCTGTAGAATAGAAAAAAAAATTATTTTTGGGTGCACCAGGACGAATAAGTATTGAAAATGGCCTTTTAAAACTTTATCCTTAAATATCCTTGGAAGTTTCCAATATTTATTTTTGAAAAAAATATATGTCAAGGACTAATATGTTAACTACCTCTTCCTCGAATTTCGTCCTTCTAACTTTATTAGTTTTAGATAAAAAAAATTTACACTTCTCTTTATAAGTAATTGATAGTTACAATATACATAAATGAAGATACTGGAATCGTTATTTTGGAACCATGTATACGCTCTAAAAGAACAAACTGACCGTATGATATATTACAGTATCGGTCATATCTAAAGCACTGATATTATGTGCCACTTATGTATGTTTATTTATTTATTTTTAATAATTTTAAATTAAAATATAGTTCATTCTCAGACAAACCCCATATAAACCCAAGTTTAACAATTTGTAGAAAAAACAAAAAAGGGCAACAAATTTTAAATAAGAACAAAAGGCGGTCTACGACTGTATTTTTAGATTTTTGTTATTTAAATATAACAATAAAAAATAAGATTTTACCACAGATTCTATTTCGAACTTCGAAGGCCAATATCGCGATTTCGGGGGCTAACTTCGAAAAACGGAGAAATCACTTTTTTACCTATGACTCAATCTCTTAAAAAAATTGGTTTGGTCTAATACCCAGCGGAGTGCTGTACAGTGTAATGATTCTAATATCTTCATTTATGTATATTGTAACTATCAATATCTTATAAAGATAAGTGTAAATATATATATAGTTTATATCTAAAACTAATAAAGGTAGAAGGGCCAAATTCGAGGTAGTGGTAGTTTACATATTAGTCCTTGACATATATTTTTTTTTTTTCAAAAATAAATGTTGGAGATTTCCAAGGATACTCAAGGATAAAGTTTTAAAATGAAATTTTCAACATGGTGCAACAAAAAATTAAATTTAAATTCTACAGAGTTTTTCCTTTTAACTGATACCCATATTGTTGCTCTACAATGCACCAAATCTTTAGAAATCAGTTTTTTATTCAATCATATCCTGGAAATTTCAAAGTCCTTTAAAAAAAACTCCTAATGTCAGAGAGAAAAATTAAAAACGCACACAGAGAAAAATATGACACATATAAACAAGAGGATTGTCTTTATGAAACGTTTCTGGGCTAAGGGGTAAAATAGACGAAAAAAACGAAGAAAATTCCATAGAGACAATGAATTGAAGGTTGTATTTTTCCATGTTTTCTCAACAGATGCTGTAGCCTAACGGGTGCGACTACGACTGCCGACTTTTTGGACGTGGGTTCAAATCCTGTGGAACGAACCTAGTTTCTTATTTTTTATTTTTTTTTTATTTTTTTATTTTTTATTTTATTTTTTT